TAGTATTTAAGGACAGGCATGGTGACTCACACCTGTAATCCCAACACTTTGGGAGGCCGAGGCAGGTAGGTCATGTGAGGTCAGGAGTTCAAGACCACCCTGGTCAACATGATGAAACCCCATCTCTACTAAAACACAAAAAATTAGCCGGGCGTGGTGGTGTGCACCTGTAGTCCCAGCTACTGGGGAGGCCGAGGCAGGAGAACTGCTTGAACCCAGGAGGTAGAGTTTGCAGTGAGCCCAGATCTCGCCACTGCACTCCAACCTGGGCGGACAGAGCAAGACTCTGTCTCAAAAAAACATAAATAAAAATAAAAATAAAGATAAATAAAAGAAAAAGAAAAACAAGCAAACCCCTTGATATCTGGAGACACCTGTGACAAAGGCGGGTGGCAAAAAGGATGGGAAGATCCGGCTTTTAAGCCACCACATCCCATTAATGAAAGCACCGGGGTTGGTTAGCCAGGCAGCTGCACTGAATGTCAGCCATTGGCCAGCAGCAAACAGTCGAGTCAACAGACAATATGGTGGGAAAACAGTCACAAAGATGAACGTGTAATCAGGAATCATCACCATTTCCGGATAATCAACCTCAAGGAAAAGGGGCAACCTAAAATAGAAGAGTTGATTATGATACCATTTGTTGACTATTTGTCTTGTCGATTTTTTCCTTTTTCTGCACATAAATGATAAAAAAAAATACAATTGCTGAGATGAATAAAGAGTCAGAAGTCCCGGCTCATTCCTTCAACTTCAACACCAGTGCCTCCCTAAGGTTAGGGATTAAGGAACGCTGGAGGTGTGTGCGTTTGGAACATACTGATCCATCTGTGATTAGTCTGCCCTACATAACCCAAGGAATCAGTCTATTTCTCTCAGCCTCTACTGACGCCACTCTGCTTCCAGAAACTATTATCACTTTTTCTCAAGTATAACTTTTCCCTTAACTATAAGGTGAAAAAAAGTTGATAAAGCAAATAGAACAGGATCTGAACTAACCATTCCTCATGTGGGTGATGAAGTTGGATGATACCTCCAACGTTCCCTAAACCCTAACCTTGGGGAGGCATTAAAATCAGTGTTGAAGGAATGAGCCCTGGCTTCTGATTCTTTATTCGCCTCAGCAACTGCATTTATCATTTCATGTACAGAACTAAAAAGAAGGAAAAACATTTTTCAATTTCTTTTTTTCTTTTTTTTGAGACGGAGTCTTGCTCTGTCCCCCAGGCTGGAGTGCAGTGGCGAGATCTCGGCTCACTGCAAGCTCCGCCTCCTGGGATCACGCTGTTCTCCTGCCTCAGCCTCCCCAGTAGCTGGGACTACAGGTGCCCACCACCACGCCCGGCTAATTTTTTTGTATTTTTTAGTAGAGACGGGGTTTCACCGTGTTAGCCAGGATGGTCTCAATCACCTGACCTTGTGATTCGCCCGTCTCGGCCTCCCAAAGTGCTGGGATTACAGGCGTGAGCCACTGCGCCCGGCCCATTTTTCAATTTCAAGACATGTGGTTAGATACTTTTGAAGAGAAATGAACAAACTGTCTCTATCATTCCTGGACAAATTAAAATGAATCTAATGATATTTACTAGACACTGAACTAAAGAACTTTGTGTAAAATATCAATGAATTGGGAGGCCAAGGCAGGTGGATCACATGAGGTCAGGAGTTTGAGACCAGCCTGGCCAACATGGTGAAACCCCGTCTCTACTAAAAATACAAAATTAGCCAGGCATGGTGGCAGGCACCTGTAATCCCAGCTACTTGAGGCTGAGGCAGGAGAACTGCTTGAACCTGGGAGGTGGAGGTTGCAGTGAGTTGAGACTGCACCATTGCACTCCAGCCTGGGCAACACAGTGAGACTGTCACAAAAAATTTTTTAATTAAAAAAAAGTTTTTTTTTTTAAATAAAAGATCAGTGATTTATTCCCACTGTCATTAAGACCGTGAAGAAGCACTGATATCCTCATTTTGTAACCTAAGGCTCCTAGGAAGGACATGTGCATCTTAATTCATGCCTTCACCCAGGTTTATCCGGATTACTGTTCTTCTGCTTCACGTTGCCATTGATCTCATCTAAAAATCAATGACTTCTTGTGCTTTAAGCCTGAATTTATACAATAAAAATCAACGACAAATGTCTTAATTGCAAGACCACTAACCACCTCTTCCTTGCTACTATTCCTCACATCACACTGAAATTCAGATACTGCTCATACCTTATAATCAAGCCAGTCCCCTACTTTAACATATTTTCCAGAAAAAAAAAGTTCAGTGAGGTCCACTTTTTACTCTCCATGTGGGATCTTTAGAAATTCTTTTAGGAGTCAGTTCCTTCATTATTTTCAGCACGCATTCATTCAATGGATGTTTAGTGAACCCGTACAAAGCTTTGTATTTTTCTAGATGCTGAGGACGTGAGGGTAAAGGTATCCCCATCCATCACGGAGGTTTAGTCAACAGAGAAACACTGCGCTCCCTAAGATCACTCCTGGCTTTGGTGACTTGCTAGGAGATCTCGTACGACTTGCAATACAGTCATACAATGGCTGTGATTTATTTCAGCAAAAGGATACAAAGGAGAAACCACCAAGGGGAAAAGGAACATAGGAAAAATCCAGAGAAAACGAGACACAAGCCTGCAAGAGTCCTCTCCCCGTGGGATCACCAGGACACAATAAATTCCTCCAGCAACAAAATGTGAGAACACATGTGAAGCGTCATCTACCAGGGAGGCTCATGAAGGACTCAACGTCTGTGGTTTTTACTGGAGCTTGTCATACAGGTACCTTCTGCCTAGCATGAGCCAAAATTCAAAACTCACTGAAGGAAACCAGACATTCAGTATAAACCACAGGGTTGGTACAGTTTAGGAACAGTGAACCATTCCTATCATTTAGGTTGATGGAAACTCTCCCAAAGTCCAAGTTTCAAGACATTAGCCAGGCTGGGTGCTGTGGCTCACGCCTGTAATCCCAGCACTTTGGAAAGCCGAGGCGGGCGGATCATGAGGTCAGGAGTTCGAGACCAGCTTGGCCAACATGGTTAAACCTCATTCTCTACTAATACAAAAATTAGCCGGGTGTGGTGGTGCACGCCTATAAAACCAGTTGCTCGGGAGGCTGAGGCAGGAGAATCGCTTGAACCTGGAAGGCAGAGGTTGGGGTGAGCTGAGATCACGCCACTGCACTCCAGCCTGGGTGACAAGAGCGAAACTCCGTCTCAAAACAACAACAACAACACAACACAACACAACAAACAAGACATCAGCCAAGGACCGACCTAGCAAACAGATCTTTCTAGAGACAGCAGTCTAAAGACTGCTATGTTTTTTCTGCACAAATATGTGGGCTAATAATTCAATGCACTAACTCTTACCAAAAAGACGTACAAGGTGCTTTGGGAGCATAGACAGTCTTCCGTGATGACATGACCTTTCAAGCTGAAAGAAGACTTAAATTTAACCTGAAAGCAGTGTTTGCTTACAGGGGTAAAGAGAACAGCATGGCCCAGGCAAATCAAGATAAGTAAAATATCAGGGAACAACTGTGTTTCTATTCTCTCATATATTATTTGTATAAAAGTAATAACAAAAACTTTATTAGGATTAAAAGAAACCGAAGAAAATATTGCACATCAGCACTCTTTTATAAATGCTACCTATTATGCTTATCTTTATTATTTTTCTTTCTTTTTTTACAAATTTAAGGCTGTTTTTCTGTCTGTCCTCAGCACCCTTCCTTTCTCACCTGACAAACATCTATTCTTCATCCATCCACAACCAAGCAAAGGTCCCCCCTTAACCAGGACTGCTCACTCTCTGGCCCTCCAACTAGATTTCATTTTACACATCACTACATTTTTTTATTATTATTATTATACTTTAAGTTCTAGGGTACATGTGCACAATGTGCAGGTCTGTTACATATGTATACATGTGCCATGTTGCTGTGCTGCACCCATTAACTCGTCATTTACATTATGTATATCTCCTAATGCTATCCCTCCTCCTTCTCCCCACCCCACGACAGGCTCCAGTGTGTGATGTTCCCCGCCCTGTGTCCAAGTATTCTCGTTGTTCAATTCCCACCTATGAGTGAGAACATGCGGTGTTTGGTTTTCTGTCCTTGCGATAGTTTGCTCAGAATGATGGCTTCCAGCTTCACCCGTATCCCCACAAAGGACATGAACTCATCCTTTTTTATGACTGCATAGTATTCCATGGTGTATATGTGCCACATTTTCTTAATCCAGTCTGTCACTGATGGACATTTGGGTTGGTTCCAAGTCTTTGCTATTGTGAATAGTGCCGCAGCTGTCTCTTATACACATCTAGATGTGTATAAGAGACAGGATCTCATCTAAAAATCAATGACTTCTTGTGCTTTAAGCCTGAATTTATACAATAAAAATCAACGACAAATGTCTTAATTGCAAGACCACTAACCACCTCTTCCTTGCTACTATTCCTCACATCACACTGAAATTCAGATACTGCTCATACCTTATAATCAAGCCAGTCCCCTACTTTAACATATTTTCCAGAAAAAAAAAGTTCAGTGAGGTCCACTTTTTACTCTCCATGTGGGATCTTTAGAAATTCTTTTAGGAGTCAGTTCCTTCATTATTTTCAGCACGCATTCATTCAATGGATGTTTAGTGAACCCGTACAAAGCTTTGTATTTTTCTAGATGCTGAGGACGTGAGGGTAAAGGTATCCCCATCCATCACGGAGGTTTAGTCAACAGAGAAACACTGCGCTCCCTAAGATCACTCCTGGCTTTGGTGACTTGCTAGGAGATCTCGTACGACTTGCAATACAGTCATACAATGGCTGTGATTTATTTCAGCAAAAGGATACAAAGGAGAAACCACCAAGGGGAAAAGGAACATAGGAAAAATCCAGAGAAAACGAGACACAAGCCTGCAAGAGTCCTCTCCCCGTGGGATCACCAGGACACAATAAATTCCTCCAGCAACAAAATGTGAGAACACATGTGAAGCGTCATCTACCAGGGAGGCTCATGAAGGACTCAACGTCTGTGGTTTTTACTGGAGCTTGTCATACAGGTACCTTCTGCCTAGCATGAGCCAAAATTCAAAACTCACTGAAGGAAACCAGACATTCAGTATAAACCACAGGGTTGGTACAGTTTAGGAACAGTGAACCATTCCTATCATTTAGGTTGATGGAAACTCTCCCAAAGTCCAAGTTTCAAGACATTAGCCAGGCTGGGTGCTGTGGCTCACGCCTGTAATCCCAGCACTTTGGAAAGCCGAGGCGGGCGGATCATGAGGTCAGGAGTTCGAGACCAGCTTGGCCAACATGGTTAAACCTCATTCTCTACTAATACAAAAATTAGCCGGGTGTGGTGGTGCACGCCTATAAAACCAGTTGCTCGGGAGGCTGAGGCAGGAGAATCGCTTGAACCTGGAAGGCAGAGGTTGGGGTGAGCTGAGATCACGCCACTGCACTCCAGCCTGGGTGACAAGAGCGAAACTCCGTCTCAAAACAACAACAACAACACAACACAACACAACAAACAAGACATCAGCCAAGGACCGACCTAGCAAACAGATCTTTCTAGAGACAGCAGTCTAAAGACTGCTATGTTTTTTCTGCACAAATATGTGGGCTAATAATTCAATGCACTAACTCTTACCAAAAAGACGTACAAGGTGCTTTGGGAGCATAGACAGTCTTCCGTGATGACATGACCTTTCAAGCTGAAAGAAGACTTAAATTTAACCTGAAAGCAGTGTTTGCTTACAGGGGTAAAGAGAACAGCATGGCCCAGGCAAATCAAGATAAGTAAAATATCAGGGAACAACTGTGTTTCTATTCTCTCATATATTATTTGTATAAAAGTAATAACAAAAACTTTATTAGGATTAAAAGAAACCGAAGAAAATATTGCACATCAGCACTCTTTTATAAATGCTACCTATTATGCTTATCTTTATTATTTTTCTTTCTTTTTTTACAAATTTAAGGCTGTTTTTCTGTCTGTCCTCAGCACCCTTCCTTTCTCACCTGACAAACATCTATTCTTCATCCATCCACAACCAAGCAAAGGTCCCCCCTTAACCAGGACTGCTCACTCTCTGGCCCTCCAACTAGATTTCATTTTACACATCACTACATTTTTTTATTATTATTATTATACTTTAAGTTCTAGGGTACATGTGCACAATGTGCAGGTCTGTTACATATGTATACATGTGCCATGTTGCTGTGCTGCACCCATTAACTCGTCATTTACATTATGTATATCTCCTAATGCTATCCCTCCTCCTTCTCCCCACCCCACGACAGGCTCCAGTGTGTGATGTTCCCCGCCCTGTGTCCAAGTATTCTCGTTGTTCAATTCCCACCTATGAGTGAGAACATGCGGTGTTTGGTTTTCTGTCCTTGCGATAGTTTGCTCAGAATGATGGCTTCCAGCTTCACCCGTATCCCCACAAAGGACATGAACTCATCCTTTTTTATGACTGCATAGTATTCCATGGTGTATATGTGCCACATTTTCTTAATCCAGTCTGTCACTGATGGACATTTGGGTTGGTTCCAAGTCTTTGCTATTGTGAATAGTGCCGCAGTAAACATAAGTGTACATGTCACTGCATTTAACACACTGGATTGCAGCTCTGCATTTATGTACTGGTCTTCTTCCAAAAAGGCCACAGTAGAGAGAAGGAAACTCTGCCACTTGCTTAAAGGACAGGTTAACATCAAACTTACATGAGTTTTCGGAGTTTACAAACAGGCTGAGTCAGCGCTTTGCAAAGAATCGCCAGGGAGGCATCGTCGAGGCTGCTGTTTTCCATGTCTAATATCTGGAAGTTCTTGTTGGTAATGAACACTGAGCAAAGCTCCCGCCAGTAGACGAGCTTCTCATTGTAACTATGAGAGAACAAAGATCGTGATTCTCCAGTGACTAAACGCAATTCAAGACATTCTCAAAACAGGCCAAACACCATTTCCAAAGCCCCTCAAAGCTGACAGACACCCAGGCCTGAACAGGGAGAAGGTCAGCCAGGTAAACTGAGCCAACATGACATAATAGTTAGAAAGTAGGCCCTGGCCAGGCAGAGTGGTTCAAGCCTGTAATCCCAGCACTTTGGGAGGCCAAGGCAAGAGAATCACTTGAGCTTAGGAGTTTGAGAATGGCCTGGGCAACATAGCAAGACTCCTTATCTATTAAAAATTTAAAAAATCAGCCAGGTGTGGTGCATACACCTGTAGTCCCAGCTATTTGGGGGCTGAGGTGGGAGGATCACTTGAACCCAGGAGTACAAGACTAAAGTGAGCTATGATCATGCCACTGCACTAAGCTAGGGAAACAGAGCAAGACCCTGTCTCGAAAAAAAAAAAAAAGAAAGTGAGCACTATTTACAATAGCAAAGACATGGAATCAACTTAAATGCCCATCAATGATAGGCTGGATAAAGAAACCGTGGTAAATATACACCATGGAATACTACGCAGTCATGAAAAGGAATAAGATCATGTCTTTTGCGAGGACATAGATGGAGCTGGAGGCCATTATCCTTAGCAAACGACTGTAGGGACAGAAAACCAAATACCATATGTTCTCATTTATAAGTAGGAGCTAAATGATGAGAACACATGGACACAGGGAAGGGAACAACACACACTGGGGCCTGTTGGAGTGTGGGGCTTGGGAGAAGGGACAGCATCAGGAAGAATAGCTAGTAGATGTCGGGCTTAATACCTGGGGGATGAGATGATCTGTGCAGCAAATCACCATGACGTATGTTCACCTATGTCACAAACCTGCACATCCTGCACATGTAACCCCTGAACTTAAAAGTTGGAAATAAAAAAAAAAAAAAAGAAAGTGGATCCTGAGACAAGAGTAATTGATTGGAACGAAACTCTGGTGTAAACATTTAGTAACTATGTGACCCTGGCCAAGCTATTCAACCTTGTTCTTGTTTCCATTTCCTCTTCTTTTAGATGAGAATACTTGAGTGTTCTATGGACAAGGGTTATTTGGTGACCCCTCGGTGAACAGGGAACTGTGTCCAAAGACGTTATCACGAACAGCAGCGTGTGTCTGAGAGCTAACGTATGAGCTGGTAACCTGAACCCGACGGAAGAATATAAGGCAAAATCAGCGGAGGGAAAAGGCAAATGGAAAAAATGCAGAGGAAACGAGGCAGGAACTTCCAGGAGTCCCCTCCCTTGGGGTCACCAGGGGATACTGCACAAAATATGAAGGGAGGGGGAAGAAGCACAGTCTGAAAACAATAAAAATGGTGAAAAAAAATAGAAAAGAAAGAAAGAGAAAGAGAAAAAGAAAGAGAAAGAAAGAGGAAGGAAGGGAGGGAGGGACGGAGGGAGGGAGGAAGCAAGCAAGGCCAGGTGTGGTGGTTCATGCTTGTAATCCTAGCACTTTGGGAGGCTGAGATGGGTGGATCACCTGAGTTCAGTAGTTCAGGAGTTCAAGACCAGCCTGGCTAACGTGGTGAAACCCTGTCTCTACCAAAAATACAAAAATTAGCCAGGCGTGGTGGTGTGCACCTGTAATCCCAGCTACTTGGGAAGCTGAGGCAGGAGAGTTGCTTGAACCCAGGAGGTGGAGGTTGCAGTAAGCCGAGATCGCACCCCTGCACTCCAGCCTTGGTGATAGAGCAAGACTCCATCTCAAAAAAAAAAAGAAAAAAAGGAAAAGAAAAAAAGAAAAAACTCCTGCTAGCCTCTTAACCTCACATTGGTCCTATGAAGTCGATAAAACTTTTATTCCTCTTTATAAAAATGGAAAAAGTTCAAGAAGTTGCAGCTCATGATCCCACAGCTGACAAATGGTAGTGCCATGGCTCGAAAGGAAGCCTTTCTGACTGCAACCTCCATGCTCTTAAGCACAGCAACATAAGGCCCACGAAACACCCACGGGCCACGGGCCACGGGCCACTAGAGCAAACTCCAAGCATAATCCGTGGGGCAGGGGATTAACAGAGGACTCACCCTGAGGCGCATCCTGAGTCATCCGGAAAGATATTCTCTATACACATGCGAAGTGTCGTTAAACCTCGACAATGCTTCAGGCAGAATGAAGCTATTACCAAATGTTCTATGTTACCAATATAAATGAACACTTCTTCAAAGAAATTCATCACTTGTGTTACAAATTCTTTTTCCTGAGTTTCAAATAAACTAACGAATAATTCCTGGAAACCTATGGCTTCCCTATCAGCTTCACATTGACTTAAACTTTTAAGGGATTGGGTTATTTCCTGCTGTAGGTCTTTTGACAGTGGAAAACCAAAGGATGTCTCCAGCATGCTGACAATTTCTTCTGCTGAAATTCCAAACATGAATATCCCCACCTGGGTCAAGTGGGTTTGAGGCTGAATCACAGTTGCTTTTACAAGCTGAGTGATGCTTCCAATGGCCGGGTTAGGATCGTCTTTGGGTCGTTTGAGCAAATAAAACATGGCGGCACAAAACTCTTGGATACACAGATGGATGAAGGTAAAATAGTCCCCTCTCCGTTGGAGAAGTCTCATACCCACCCACATCAAGCCCTCAGACTCAGATAACCCATTCCTCCGGAGATCCTCATGGCAAAATACGAATGTGTATGTCCATACTCCCTCTGCAGCCAAAGCACACAGGTTTTTCAGTCGGGCTCTGTTCACCTTAGGCACAAAACTCTGACTTCCTGCTTTGAATACATTTGTTAAGAAGGATGCATATAAAGAGGTGGTGTTTTGGGAGTTTATTTCAAGGTCTTCTCCCCTCTCTAGCCTCTGTTTCACGCAAGCACAGACCAACCAGCATATAAAGGGATTATGGCACAAGATAAACAGCGGTCCACTATCTCTCACAAAATTGAAGACTTTCAAGGCTTTGTTCTTCTCACCAAAGTAGTAGGAGAAATACGACTTCTTTTCAGATTCAGTGAATCCTGAGAGCTTTATAAGTTTTGGATGCTGCAACATAAAATAGTGTTTTTGCATAGCCAGTTTTCCTAAGGCAATAAGCAGAGAGCATTCTGGAAGCATCTTTTTCTGCAACAAACTGCTCAGGATAATTGACGTTGGCTGCTGCCGCCTCCAGTCATCGCTCAAGTCGTCCTTAAATTTCAAGTTAAACTTCAGTTGCTCAAAGCCATCCATGATGAACAGAATTCTCTCTGGCTGGGAAAAAATGTCTTCGATCGTCTCTGAAGACTCAGGCCAGTCCCTGGAGAGGAGCTCCAGTAAGCTGGTCTCTGTGACCCCGTTTATTTCATAGACATTGAGGAAAAACACAAATGTGAACCTATCCTTCCATAAGTTTCCCTCTGCCCAGTCCAACATCACTTTTCTTAGAAGGGTTGTTTTTCCAATTCCGTCGGAACCTTCCAGGACCACAGTGTGGAGTCTAGCCGCAGCAGTATATGCGCCATTCAATTCTTTATACTTATTTTTCATGGTTTCTTTGTAGAAATGCTCAGGGACGGGAAGACAGGTTTCCTTCTCCCATATGAGTTGAAATTTTTCCTTCATATGCTTTCTATATGGGTTTAGCTTATCTGTGAGAACAGGATATAAGATAGTTAAAAACGCACTCATTCTTTTATACTCCTCAGAACTGTAAACCAAAAATAAAATTCTAATACTCGTCAGCCATCTGAAGCCAGGGTGCTTTTAACATTTAACCTGAGAGACTGGTTCATGCCATGATGGGAAGTGGGGGTCAGACATACTTCATTGTACCTCTCCATTAACACAAACACAGGCTTTGAGTCTGATAAGAAACATTTTACAACCTATTCTCTCTCAAGGCTTCCTCTGCGAGTAAGGACGTGGCTCTCCATAATCCTTTATCTTAACCCAGACATTTCCTTTTCTTTGATCCCAGGTCTTTAGATAAACTCAACCAGTTGTCAACCAGATAATGTTTTCTTTTTATTTTTTGAGACGGGGTCTTGCTGTCGCCCAGGCTGGAGCGCAGTGGTGTGATCTCAGCTCACTGCAAGCTCCGCCTCCGGCCGTCAACCAGAGAATTTTTAAACCCATCTAGAACCTGGAAGCGTCCCCCTCACCCTGCTACCGGCTTCCAGTTGTCCCACCTTTCTGAACCAAACCAATGTATGTCTTATTGAAGTCTCACGTCTCCCTAAAATGTATAAAACCAGGGCCGGGCGCAGTGGCTCATGCCTGTAATCCCAGCACTTTGGGAGGCCGAGCCAGATGGATCACCTGAGGTCAGGAGTTCAAGACCAGCCTGGCCAACATGGTGAAACCCCATCTCTACTAAAAATACAAAAGTTAGCCAAGGCGTGCTGGCGGGCACCTGTAATCCCAGCTACTCGGGAGGCTGAGGCACAAGCATCACTTGAACCTGGCAGGCGGAGGTTGCAGTGAGCAGAGATCGTGCCATTGTACTCCAGCCTGGGTGACAGAGCGAGACTCTGTTTCAAAAAAAAAAAAAAAAAGTGTAAAACCAAGCTGCACCCCAACTACCTTGGGTACATGTTCTCAGGACCTCCTGAGGGCTGTGTCACAGGCCATGGTCACTCATATTTGGCTCAGAATAAATCTTTTAAAATATATTACAGAATTTGACTCTTTTCGTTGGCAGAATGACGCCTAAAGATTCACTTGGAACACACGCAGACTGGCGTGCATATCGAGATAACCAGGCTGGCTAACTTAGTTTTGTTAGGACCATAATCTGTCTGAAATCATGTTCATGGAAACACATGACCAAATTGGAAACCTAGACAGAGTGATGGCCACCATGAGGTGTGAACGCTGGAGAATTATATTCCAAGCTGGAAGAGGGGGTGGCATCTCCCCATCCAAAAGCACCACCATTTGCTGAAGCTCTACAGAGAATCAGGGCTGAGGTTATGACTACCGATCCCGCACATTTCATCTCAACCACTCATTCAAATTCATCCGCTTTCTGCTTTCCAAAAAGGTTTGAGTGTATGTGTCTGGACTAATTTAGACTGATGAATAGATAGCAGGGGTCAGGTGCATGTCCCATGTCTGCTGGACTGGAAGCCATGGAGTCTAGATTATTTCTATTGCCCCACACTGGCTGTACTCAGTTCGGAAATCCACCCCTGAACCATCAATTTCTTTTTTTCTTTTGAGACGGGATCTCACTCTGTCACCCAGGCTGGAGTGCAGTGGCGCAATGTCAGCTCACTGCAACCTCCCCCTCCCAGGCTCAAGTGATCCTCCTGCCTCAGCCTCCCAAGTAGCTGGAACTATAGGCGTGTGCCACCACGCTTGGCTAATTTTTGTTTTTTGGTGTAGGGTTTTTTTTCTTTTTGTGGACATGGAATTTCACTATGTTGTCCAGGCTGGTTTCGAACTCCTGGGCTCAAGTGATCCACCCACTTTGGCCTCCCAAAGTGCTGGAATTACAGGCTTGAGACACCGTGCCCCACTGGAACCATCATTCTTTCAACCTGCTTTTACGGTCTTTACCTGCCTTTCTGTCACTTCATTTTGGTCAACAGTTATAGTAACTGAGATTTGAGCGTTTCCGTTCAAGCACCCAGTGTTACTCCAACTATTAGAAACAAGATCCTACTCCACCTTCTATTCTCAGCCAGCTTTGCCTTCTCTATACAGCGGGACAGACACGAAGAGCTTATTCCTTTCACCCTTCAGTGGCAGCTCATGTATGCTCCTAAAATGACAATGGCGGCCGGGCGCGGTGGCTCAAGCCTGTAATCCCAGCCCTTTGGGAGGCCGAGACGGGCGGATCACGAGGTCAGGAGATCGAGACCATCCTGGCTAACACG